GGATATGTGATATGTGCCTGGGGGTGTGTGTGAGGTCATGTGTGGCAGCTCTTTTTGATTTGTTTTATCTCCTGGACCTCTACCCTAAGAATTTGTTTAAAGACAGGATTCTATGGTGTAAAAATAGCTCTCAAACCACAGCCCCATACTAACTTAGATGGGAGACAGCGCCAGAGGGCACGTGGTTTGTTCCAGGTCACACAGCAAGGCAATGAGGGAAACTTGCCTGGGACGCAGTCTCCTCCCTCCCACCACTTCTGCCCTGGAGGACTGCCTTTCAGAGCTTCCCCTAAGCAGGGCCTGGGTGGGGCAGCTTCATGAAAGCCCAGTGGGTGACTGAGTCTCAGGTATAGTCAACAAACTCACACCTGTTTTCGGTGTTAGGTGGTGCTCTGGGAAGAGGACAGAGATGAATAAGGCATGGTGCCTGCCCTCAGGGGACTCTCCATCTGGGCCTGAATGTGGAGAGAGTAAGTCCCTCCAAAGCTACCTCTAGACACCTCCCCTTTCACCTTAAGCTTCTCATTTTCCCTGGCCAAGAGCCCTCAATCTTAACCACTCTGCTTTTTTCCTCAAATTGCTATCTTCTCTCCTCTTTCCTCCCACCCTAATCCTTTTGGGCTCTTCTCTCCCATATTACTCTCTCTCTCTCTTTTTTTTTTTTTTTTTTTGGCTGGCTGGAATAATATCCAAACCCTTGAGGCTGGTTTTTGTATGGGCCAGCTGCCAGAAAAAAAAAAAATCAAAAACATTTATTACCATCTGGCATGCAATATATTTTATTTGTTTGTTTCTTATCTGTCTCCTCCTGCCAGAATATAAATTTTGTTTACTCCTTCTCTCCAGCTAACAATAAGGTATACGGCACACAGTAGGTGCTCAATAAGTACTCAGTGAGTGACTAAACATACAGACTCCGTCCCTCTCATTTGGCCTCTCAGTCTCTCTCAGTTGCCCCAGTCTATATCAGGTTTTTTTGTTTTTGTTTTTGTTTTTTTTTTTTTTTAAAAGATGACCGGTAAGGGGATCTTAACCCTTGACTTGGTGTTGTCAGCACCACGCCCAGCCAGTGAGCGAACCGGCCATCCCTATATGGGATCCGAACCCGTGGCCTTGGTGTTATCAGCACCGCACTCTCCCGAGTGAGCCACTGGGCCGGCCCATGAGGCTGGTTTTAAAACACTGTGCTCAGGCTGACACCGTGGCGCACTCGGGAGAGTGCGGCGCTGGGAGCGCAGCGACGCTCCCACCGTGGGTTCGGATCCTATATAGGAATGGCCGGTGCGCTCACTGGCTGAGCGCGGTGTGGGCGACACCACACCAAGGGTTGCGATCCCCTACCGGTCACGAAAAAGACAAAAAAGTAAAAATTAAAAATAATAGTAATAAAAAATAAAACACTGTGCTCTATCCAATTGAGCTAAGTGACCAGCCTTCCACATTACTCTCTTATCTCACCCTATTTTACAACCAGTAGCCTGGGGAAAGGAGCATAGGCCAAAAGAGGGAGAAGGCAGCCAAGCAGGCGTGGCTCAGCTAGACACCGGATGGAGCTGCGATGCTTCTCCTTCCCAGGAGGGGGCGCACTATCATATGTGGCCGAAGCATCCTTCCAAAGTGCTCAGCCCTGCAGGATGTAACCCAATTGCAGAGCCAGGATCGACTAACCTTCACAATCACCGAGCAGGAAGGCAAGGACAAACAATCACCAGCTCCAGATGGGAAGACCAAGGTCCAGAGAGGGGCAGAGTGGCTGGAGGCCTGAACTCACACAGCAGCTGTTTGAGTTCTGCTTTAAATCACCCTATCTCCCTCCTCCCTATCCTATCCACAGTCCTAGGAGATCTGTTGTCCTGCGAAGGGAAGGGACTCCAGGCTGGGCTGCCTCTGAAGCTCCTGGATCCAGGGGTATCATCTCTTGGGCTACCCATTCTTGAATTCCCTCCAAAATTGACCTTCCTTTCTCCTCCCAGGAACCCTGTGCCCTGCTGTCAGCATCCACTGCCTTAGCTAAACCATGAGGTTTAAGGGAAGGGGGCTAAAGGGTACAGCTCATAGTCCTGGCTGCCCCAGCTAGACATCAGCCCCCATGTGGATGCCTCAGCTCTGCCTAGGGACTCAGGCAACATCTGTCCCCAGAATCCCCCTCCTCTTAGAAACTGAAAACAGTTCTGGGCCTCACTATGTGCCAGGCTCTACTCTAAGCACTTCTTGTGTGTTGGCTCTCTGTACCCTCAGATGAGGCAACTGAGGCACAGAGAGGGTAATTCGCCTGCACAGCTGGTATGTAGAAAGGTGGGACATAAAGTCGGGAAATCTATTTTCAGAGAGAGAATTTTTTTTTTTTTTTTTAAAGATGACCGGTAAGGGGATCTTAACCCTTGACTTGGTGTTGTCAGCACCACGCTCAGCCAGTGAGCAAACCAGCCATCCCTATATGGGATCCGAACCCGTGGCCTTGGTGTTATCAGCACCACACTCTCCCGAGTGAGCCACAGGCCGGCCCAGAGAAAGAATTTTTTAACCACTGTTTCAGAGACCTCCAGTCCTCTAATATCCATTCACTCCCTTTTCTAGAGTAAAAAGCAGTCCAGAATAATGATCGTGTTTCCCAGTCTTTTTTTAAAGATGACCAGTAAGGGGATCTTTTTTTTTTTTTTTAAAGATGACCGGTAAGGGGATCTCAACCCTTGGCTTGGTGTTGTCAGCACCACGCTCGTAATAACTTCGTATAGCATACATTATACGAAGTTATACGAGATAGTATGCATAACAAGAAAGGAAAAATAGAATGCAAAGATATCAGCATATGAAGTCTTTGTGTGGAACAAAAGTAGGGATTTCAGCGCAGTTCAAATGGTAAGTTATGTTGAGAGACAGGCTAGAGGTGAGTTGAAGAGTTTTGTAGATATTCACCGGGAGAACAATGAGGATTTGGAAATAGGCAGATAATATTATCCTCTGAAAGTTATTATATGAAATAAATATATAGTGGATTATAGCTGAGATATAAATTCATTTTAAATAGACTGACTCTTTTCAAGATTAAGACTTGCCTATGACCTGATAAAAGATATTAACTTATATTCGTAAAAAGTCAATCCAAATACTTTTTTCAGCATTAGAATTACAAAGAGAGATGAATCACAGGAGCAAACAGCTGCAGTCTGTACTTAACACAGCCCAGTGGAGAGGCTGTGTTTGACTCCAAAACATTCATCAGAATGTCAGAAAATGATGAGATTTCTGGTACTATCATCAAACTAAGAAATTCAGTGGGTTTCATTTTTCATAGCAAATCCTCCTTTTTCTGCACTGAAATTTTATGCACAAATTCGATATATAATACAGGAGAAAGGACTACTTAGATAAGGATGCCTTACAGTTCACAGATCTTTGGGAACTCAGTTTTCCCTTACACCTATAATGATAATATAATTAATTTTAGAAAAAACTATATCTCTTCATGGAGATCCCAAATTCACTGAGATACCTTCTGATTATGAATTTTCTTCGTCTTGATTACAGCTGGATGTGACCAAGAGGGAGGAGATGTGTACAGCAGCCGGGTCATTCCTTTAATTAGGAGAGGTGTGGGGGGCCGGCCCGTGGCTCACTTGGGAGAGTGCGGTGCTGATAATACGAAGGCCACGGGTTCGGATCCCATATAGGGATGGCCGGTTAGCTCACTGGGTGAGTGTGGTGCTGACAACACCAAGTCAACGGTTAAGATCCCCTACCGGTCATCTTTTTGGGAAGAAAATAAAAAGGAGAGGTGTGTCCCCTTACTTTCCCCCTCCTGCTGGCTGCAGTGTGGGTGTGGGTGAGGCACCTGGACCATGCAGTTTGGAACAGCTGCCACAGCCGCCTATAATTTCTCCAATCCAACCTTCACACAACAGCCAGAGAACACTTCAAATAATATGAATAAGATTATGGAGGTCCCCTGCCCCAAACCCTCTCTTAATTGCCTTCAGAAGAAAGGCCAGACTCCTCAGTGATGGACAAGACCTTCTCCTATCTGGCCTTGAACTATATCTTTCCAGTCTCATCACTTGCCATTTTTATCCTCTGCCCTTACCCCAGGCCAATCATCAGGAAAATCTCATTCTTCCTCAACTATACCTTTGTAGTGGATTGAATTATATCCCCCCCCAAACTCCCTGAAGCTTGAAATTGTGTCCCCCAAGTTTTATGTATTAGAAACTTAGCCCCCACTGTGACTGTTAAGAGGGTGGGAAATCCTACTATGGTAATCGAAAGATGGAGCCTTGAACAGATGATTGGATTGTAGGACCATGCAGTAGTGAATGAAATAAAAACGGTGGTCAGGGGCGTGGTTCTGAGGGCTTTAAAAAAAAGAGGAGAGATGGGCCAGCCTGTGGCTCACTTAGGAGACTGTGGTGCTAATAACACCAAGGCCATGGGTTTGGATCCCATATAGGGATGGCTGGTTTGCTCACTTCGGACAGCATGGTGCTGACAATACCAAGCCAAGGGTTAAGATCCCTTACCCGGTAATCTTTAAAAAAAAAAAAAAGAGGAGAGTCTGTATCTCTGTTCTCTCTGCTTCCACCACCTTTTAATGTGAGACCCCTGGGTCACTGTCACCACCACCAGATGGACTTTGGACTTCCCAACCTCAGAAACTGTAAGCAATAGGCCGAGCCCGTGGCACACTCGGGAGAGTGCGGCACTGGGAGCACAGCAGCGCTCCCGCCGCGGGTTCGGATCCTATATAGGGATGGCCGGTGCGCTTACTGGCTGAGCGCGGTGTGCGGCTGGTCTCAAAAAAAAAACAAAAAAAAACGGGCCAGCCCGTGGCTCACTCGGGAGAGTGTGGTGCTGATAACACCAAGGCCACGGGTTCGGATCCCATATAGGGATGGCCGGTTGGCTCACTGGGTGAGCATGGTGCTGCCAACACCAAGTCAAGGGTTAAGATCCCCTTACTGGTCATCTTTGAAAAAAAAAAAATGGCCTGAGGCCGCAGGGCAAGCCCCGGTTGCCTGCCATGGAGAGGGCTAGCGAGCCGCTGCTGGATGCTAAGTCAGGGGTCACCAACCAGCTTATAAATTTTCAGTGGAAATTGGGTATGGCTGTGAGCTCGGACAGTTGCAGATCTCTTAAGTATCCTTATGTTGCAGTGATGCTAAAAATGGCAGATCCTTCAGGCCAAGTAAAGAACAAGTCCTTTGAAATGACAATTCCACAAGTTTCAGAATTTCTACAGACAGTTCAAGGAAATTGCTGCAGTTATTGAAACTGTGTAAAAACTTATTTGGTTGATAAATTGCTATCATCATTCTGAAATCATGTACTTCAGTTTCTTGCAACAAAACTGGATAAGAATCAAATGATATTTAATGAATGAAAATTGCACTTTTGTTTTTTCCATTTTTTTTAATAATAAAAAATCAGACAAACAGTTTTGGTGGTCCATAAAAAAGAAAAAGAAACTGTAAGCAATAAATGTTGTTTTCTTTATTTTTTATTTATTTATTTTTTTTAAAAGATGACTGGTAAGGGGATCTTAACCCTTGACTTGGTATTGTCAGCACCACGCTCACCCAGTGAGCAAACCAGCCATCCCTATATGGGATCCGAACCCGTGGCCTTGGTGTTATCAGCACTGCACTCTCACAAGTGAGCCACAGGCCGGCCCCATCGTTTTCTTTATAAATCATCCAGTTGCAGGTTATTTTGTTATAAGCAGAAAAACAGATGAATACACCCTTCTTCCTCGGCCTTCCCAATTCCTGTTCCCACACCTAGCAGACTCCTATGTATCCTTCAAGACCTAGCCCAGAGAGTACCTGTGGTATGCAGTGTTTCCTGACCCTCCTTGCAGAGTGAGTGGCTCCACCCTCTGGTCTTCCATGGTACGTGTACAGCCTTCTGGGATAGTGGAAGCCTTTCTGTATTGTCATAGTCTGTAGATGTGCCCACCTCTCTTATTTCTCTTTGAGGGCAGGGACCAAGTCTAGGTCATCTGTTGGTTGTCAGTACCTAGCATGGGGCCAGGCACCAAACCAGTGGCAGTCAATTTCAATGAGTGATTGAAAGAAAGAGAGAAAGTGTGTGTGTGAATGGCCTGAGCTGGCAGAAGGCCCAGGACAAGGAGACAGGGAGGACATCTAGAAATAGTCCCATCTCTGGGCCCCAACCAGGCCCTGGTGCCCAGATAAACTGACCCTGGGTGAGGGGGCAGGGGCCTAGGATGGGCAGGTGGAGACTGAAGAGTGTGGGTCAGGCAGGCTGTGGCCCTGCTGCCTGGGCACAAGCCCTCTGTGGTCTGTTAGCCAAAGCAGATGGATCCTGCCTGACGGTTGGTGAGCAGTCCTGGCACTCAGACCTCAATGACCCTCAGTGACCAGTGAGTATTTCAGGATGGGGCTGAGCATCACCTGATCTCTTGGCTGCACTTGTAGGGCAAAGGGGAACCTGCCAGCCTACCCACTGATGAGGAGGCAGGGTTGGGGCAGGAACACTGGAAAAGTTTGTCCTCTCTCCACTCTGACCCCACCTCACCCTCTTCCCCACTTGGAACCACTGACTGTCACAGCTTGAAAGACTGAAGAGATCATCTGGCCCAACTCCCTACCATGGGGTGGGGTGGGACACTGAAGGTAAGAGATTGGCCCAAGGTCAAAGAGCAAGGCAGGGTGAAGACTATCACAGGGAAAGCCAGTGTAGAATAGTGGGTAAGCTGTACACTCCAGCTATTCTGCCTGGGTCCAAATCCTAGCTCTCATCTGTAAATCGGGGATGGGAACAGTAGTTACCACTAAGTTATCACTAAGTTATTGACAGGATTATATGAGTTGAGAGACAAAAAGCTGCTAAGTCTAGTGCCTGGCACTTGGTAAGTGCTGCATCAATGTTAGCAATCATTTTCTGCACCACACATTATAGCCCACAAAGCCCCAATTTTAGTATATGTGCTGATGAGGCAAGCACCACCAAGCTTCTCTACACCCACAGTCTCACTTATTCCTTCCAATAACCTTGAAAGGTTAGACATTACTATCCTCATCACAGAGGAAGAACCAAGCACAAAGAGATTGACTTGCCCAAGTTCACACAGGTATCGTGTCTCACAACTTCCCTGCCAGTGATCTTTACACTTCCTCCCTCTTGCCCTTGACAGATCATAAACTGGCTCACCAAATGGAGAGTATGGGGCATCCGGGCATAAGCCAGCCCTTGGCTCCTGATGTTACCCACCTTAGGCTGTTCTTATCCCTGCACTGGATGATCCCATTCTAGGGAGGACAACCTTATTTATCTGACCTTATCTCTTCCTGACTTTGATCCCATCCTTCTAACATTTTGGATTTCCCACCCCCTACCTTTAGAAGGGAAAGTCTCTCACCCTGAGTTCCTAATCACCCTGGACTCTCACCCTGGACTCCCTAGTCCACTCAGTCATTCCTGCAAATAGGCTCCTTCCCTTTCCTACTAGTGACTTTGTTTACTACAGAGCCCAGGGATGCTGCCTCCACCAACCCCCAGACAACCCCTGAAACCCCAGGCTGACAGTGTTGGCTCTGTACTTGCTTCCTGGAATACATCTGGCCCCAAGTGGACCTTCCTGAGGCCAAGGTATACTCCCTGCTGATCTCCCTGCCATGACTTGCCAGTTCTCCTCACCTGGGGACACATAGTGGTCATGTATCCACACCAACCAGGCTCATTGGGCCTCCTGGAGCTGCCTGAATCCTTCCAGAATCTTGGGTAGGCTACTCCCGAAAAGAGTGCACTCTGAGGCATGACTATGGAACTGTCTATTGGGTGCCAGGAGAGGGGATGGAGGCTAGCCACGTGGCACATGAACATGCCCCAGACCTCAGGATGATGTGAAATGCTATTTTATGAGCATTAGGTTTACCTTTCTAATTGTACTTTACCTAATCCAATATTAGAGTTTATTTAGATTTTTGCTGAGGCAACTGTTTCATTTGATAGAAGAGGAAACCGTAGTTTGGGGAGGGAGCCAGAATCAGCCCCAAGTCTGGGACCTGATTTAATTACTTTCTAGGAATAGCCTTGTCCCCGAAGAAAGCTGCTGTTGAGATCCAGGCTACACCTATGCATCCAGAAGGGCAATTCTCACCTGGGAGAACTTGGAGCCCCACCACACACTGGAAATGACCCAGTCTCCTGGCCCTCAGGGATGGAGTGAGAGAGAGGGCAGGAGGAAAGTTAAGAGAAGTGGAGAATGGGAGAAAGGGCAGAATTTTTAAACAGAGAGAACACTGAAGAGGACAGGTGGCTTTCTTTGTTTTGGAGAAGAGACTGTTCATCCATCCACAATTTGTGCCAGGCCTGTGCACAGCAAAGAGCAAAACCGACCAGGTCCTGGCCCTGGAAGAACCTGAGGTATGATGGCAAGACAGGCTCTGAAAGAATGGAACACATCAAAGCAGGATAAGCACTGTGGTAGGGAAGACGGGGCTACCCAGAGGCAGGACAGTTAAACTGAAAGCTAAAAAATGACTAGGAATTAACTAAAAGAGAGTAGGAGCTAGGGAGGAAGAGCATTGTTGGCAAACAGCACGAGAGAAACATGGTGCCCCTTCGAGGTAAAAAAGGTCAAGGATGGCTACAGCATGTGAGGGGGATGTGTGCTGTGAGGCTGTGGGGCCATGTACAGGAAAGTGGGTCTTGTGCTGAGGGCCACAGGCAGCCAGGGAAGGAGATGGGAAGAGAAACAATTAACCTTTGTACTGTATTCCCTGACTTATCCCTACCTTATCTTCTCAGAGTCCTTGCGAGGGTGGCTAGGTAGGGACTGGGATGTACTTTTTGCAAATGAAGAAACTGAGACCCAGAGAGATCATGACTTGCCCAAGGTCACATAGCTGGTAAATAAGTAATAGGGGCAAGACTGGAACCCAAATGAGTCTCACACCAGAGCCCCTAATACTACAGAAGTGGATAGAGTCACTCATTCATTCATTCATCCACTCATTTATTCATTCAATACCTTGAACCCTATTATCTGCCAGGCACGCTTCTTGAAACAAGATTTCAGTAATAAATTAAACCAAGGAAACAGAGGAGACCAGGCTAAAGAGTTTGGGCTGGTTTCTGGGGAAGGCAGAATGTCCCTCCCTGCATGCTAAGCTCCCACCCCGATTGTTCTCTTTCCAGGGAGTGTTCTGCCACAGGCAGCAGTTTCTCAGAAGCAAACTTGGTGTTGGGTAATGTCTGCCTTCTGCCATGGTTTGTTCACTGGACCAACAGTATCTAGAACTCATGGGGAACAAGGAAAAAGATTTCCTAGTGGCAGAAAGAACACTCCACTCCACCCGCTGTGCCGACAATCCTCCTATACTGTGAGCTCCGTGAAGGTGAGGACGGGGACTGCAACTCTCCTTTTTACCCTGAATCCCTGCCAGGCTCAGCACAGTGCCTGGCCATAGGAGGTACTCAACTAATATTGGTAGAATGGACGAATTATTTAAAGAGAGAGAAAAGGACAGATGAGGAAACTTATCTGCAATATCTGAAGGCAACTCCATGACATCAATGAGGAGGAGTTGGCCATACACTTGGATCCTTTCCTACTGATTCAGCATCTCAGAGGGCCTGGGGAGGAGACCTGAAAAGGAGAAAAGAAAGGGAGTTACTATTGTTGGAGTGAGCAGGACTGAAGCCATATTGAGACCTAAAACTACACGGGCTCTAAAAGATTTTTAAAAGACAGGTTCTTTTCTTGGTGTGCATTTCTCTGAGTTCTTTCTTTTCCCATGGTTATTTGATAATTTGAACCTTGGTTTTGAGGCAAGATGACATTATATACATGAATGTAAATTTGTTTTCCAGACACCCTGAAGCTGCAGACTTGCATGTACTACCCACACTCTGAGATAAAGACGGGAGCAGAAACCAGACAGTGCCTTGGCAAGACCTTGCACTTGAGACCTCGCATGAAGCCCTCGCTGCTCATGTACCCCTCCCTCCTGCTTTTCATTTTTGCACATTCCATTCCCTCAACCCCCTCTTTAAAAACACCTCAGTAAACCTGAGTCTTTGAGATGGCTTTAACCTGGCCATTCTCTTTCAGGTTTATCAGAGAGATGGGTTAGCCTAACATCTCTCCTCAGGTCACTGGTATTCCTGAATAAGAGCCAACTTCCATTTTCTTTTTCTTTTCTTTTTTTTTTTTTTTTTAAAGATGACCGGTAAGGAGATCTTAACCCTTGACTTGGTGTTGTCAGCACCACGCTCAACCAGTGAGCTAACCGGCCATCCCTATATGGGATCCGAACCCGTGGCCTTAGTGTTATCAGCACCGCACTCACCCGAGTGAGCCACGGGCCGGCCCCTCAACTTCCATTTTCACCAACTTTTTTTTTTTTTTTTTAAAGATGACCAGTAAGGGGATCTTAACCCTTGACTTGGTGTTGTCAGCACCACGCTC